CACAGGCGCTCGTCCAATGCTCAGCACAAGGAAGCCTCTCCTGCAGCCGAGGCTTTGGGCACCCCACAGTGAAGGAAATGATCCATAGGTGGGTTTTTGAATGGATCCTGGCTACTGAAACCCCAATGTCTCATCTCCTTACAATAACACAGCTGCCTCTGACTACTCTTAGACAAGGGTTAGAAAAAAAGGCTTATGTCTAGCAACAAAAAGCTGCAGAGCTTTTCTAAGAAAGCGCTTCACACCTTTCCAAACACATCAGTTGCCACCAGAGCCCACTTATCCCATTAGCCATGGCCGGGCCTGGTTCAGACCAGGGCGCTGGCAGTACCAGCAAGGCTCCCAGCTACCAGGTAGCTCAAGAGAGGACCTGCCCCAAGCAAAACACTTTCCATTCAGGATTTCAAGGCTGAATGCTTTGAAAAGGTTTCACCTGCTGTTACCCAACTGCACCAGCTGCAAGTGCCAGAGGCTGAAGGAGGATGAGCATGAGGAGAAAGGGCAGGGGCAAGGAAAGAGCCATGCAGCACCTCAGGACAGGCGGTGACAGTTCAAAACAGACCCATCATGGGTGAGGGAAAAGCACCAAGAGGCTCAGGTTGCCACCACAGGGGCAGAGGGGCTGTTACAGAAGAGACTCAGTGACCTGGAGCCCTGGAGAAAGCAGACGGGGAAGCCCCTTTTTATTGACCAGGCAGTTTTCTACAACTGATTTACCCTTAAACTTCGGTGGCCAGAAGGGGCCCCATGCCAGACCGATGGGTGACAGGGACGTCTCTGGCAGACCACAATCCCCCTCCCCAGCCACCGCTGGTGCTGAGGGTGGGAGAAGTATCGTGCAGCAGAGCAGAGCTGCCTGCTCCATACAGGTTTCAGTCCTACAGGGCTTCACTCTCACCTGTGTAGAGGGGACCAAAAAAATTGCAGAGGAAACTCAGAAGGTGATGAAACCAACTGATGCTGCCAACAGCCACTGGGAGACTCCAGAGGCTGCAAACAGCCTTGGGATGGGAGTTTCCAGAGGAAAGGTGAACAGCAGAAAGTTTTTTTTGTTGGAGGCTCCCACCTTGCACATGCTGGGAGGAAACTGCCAAACCAGCCCATTTTTACCACCAGCAGCCCTGCAGCAGCAGGCAGATCACCGATGCTTCTGCACCTCCAGCTTCCCCCATTGCAGCTGCTGGTCCACAGCTGCTCAGAGCCCTGGCTCTGGGCCACCCGCTGTCCCTTCAGGAGAAGCCAAGAGCACGGAAGAGAGAAAAGGGGCTAAACCTGACCTCTGAAGGTGGCAAGGGGTGGGGGACCCCAAAAAGTCCCAGATGCAGTAAACCTTTCCTAGGGCTGAGACACCAAGGCCTCTCTTCTCCAAAAGCAAAGTCAGCAAAGAAACTGGCTTGGATGATAAAGCCAAACCGCTTATCCAAAAAGCTGCAGGTCTGGAGCAGGACTGCCCCTGGAAGGCCCGAGGACCCCCGTCCAGAATGACTCCTGGCACAGGAGCGATGCTCTCACCTGGGCTGGCTGTGGGGTGTAAAGCCAGGGCAGAAAGCGGAGCCTGGCAAGGGCAGAACCCAATGGCTGCAGCCCTGCTCCAAAGCAGCCAGGCAGGAATTTTGGTAGAAGGGCTATCCACTTGGGGATTTTAGTTTGGGAATACAAGACCCACGTGAGAGATTCAAGGTGAAAAAAATTGGCCCAAGAGCAACACTTATCAGATACTCACAACGAAGTCTGTGCTGTGTTTTTGGAAAGTACCAGTGTTGGTGAGGCCAAAGTGCCACCTGCTTTATTTTAGGTGACTTGCTACAAAGTTCATAGGATTCTTCACGTGCAGATGACAATTAAAAATTAATTAAAAAAATCAGCGTACACAGCACGAAGGAGGATTATTCTTTTGAAAACATGCTTTCATCTAGGAAAACATTCTAGCGCTGTTTCCTGTTTTTTATTAAAATCAATTATATCAGGAAATAATAAAACCCCCTTAGCTGTATCATATTAGCTCACCTTATCTTTACTCCTTGCTGCTCAGAGTGCTTGCAACAAGAAATAACTAAATCAAACACAGCAGCACATAGCGTACGGCAGCTCAAAACTTCGAAATGTTCAAGTAGCTGCCATTCTATAGCCAGTTACTTGCGAGCATCATTGCTTGCGCTGCTGTGCTATACAGATCCGAAAGCAAAAGCATGTGGTGGGAAGGCAGATTTAAGGGATTTTCTCCATGCGTGAATCCGCTGGCCCAGCAGAAACATATACCAGAGCTCTCGGTGACATTTTTATAAGAAAGGCTTCACGTCAGCTTTGCGCGTGACAACAGTTCAGTCACAAATCTTCGAGCTTGCTGCAGTTTTTGTCCTCACTTGACATGGCTCAGCACCAGCTGTCAGCCAAGCCCATACGAGCAGCAGCATCCCCACTCATGTAGCTGTTCATGGTTTAGTTGTGCTGCCTGCCCTTCCGAAGGCAGAAGTCCCATTCCAGCGATCACTGGCCGACTTTCACAGTCAGCACTGGATTCATTTTTAAGTCTCAGAACTATGCACAAACCTGCCCAGGAAGGTAACACAGCAGTTCCTTAATGACATTTTATTATCCTAAAATAGAATAACAATTCCTGCCCTCAATTTCTATCTCTGTTGCCCTTGTCTCTTCGGAATTTCCCCACACAGAAATCCTGAAGCAGGATATATATTAAGCAAGATACCCACAAACACAAGCGTACTAGGTAGACTTCAATTATTTATTGGGACTGCTCTGCGGCCATATCCTACAAATGCTGCAGAACAGAACCAAACCACGCCTGTGCAAAGCAGCACATCTGCAATTAAAACCGCCTTCCCACCATCCCGCCTTCCCAAGTTCCTTTACAACCCCCCAGTTAAAAAAATAAAACCAACACACACCTCTACTTCCTTCATTCTCCCCACTCCTTCTCAATCAAAATCTGTTTTCCACCTGCCCCTCTCCCCACTGTTACTTTTCCTGCCACCCCATCCCCTCCTCGCCCGTCTCCCCCTTTCCCTTGTGCCCCCCATGCCAACACGAGCGACCCCCCCATGCCAAGCCCAGCCCCTGCTCAGGGCCCAGCCTGTAAACCAGCCACTGCAAACGACAGAATGATGTTTCAACACAGATTTCAGAGAAATGGGAACTCACATCCAGGTGAAAGAAATACTACATTTCTCTGAGGAGAGAACAAAAAAAAAAAAAAAAAACCAAGGATGGGTTGTGGCTTTCAAAAGTAACAAACACTT